CCATTCTATAAGGCAAACATCACCCTGATCCCAAAAGCTGATAAGTCACCACCAAAAAAGAAAACTATAGGCCAATATTTTTTATGAATATAGACAGGAGAATCATCAATAAAATATTTGCAAATAGAATACAGCAACACATACAAAAAATTACACATCCTGATCAAGTAGGATTCATCCCAGGAATGCAAGAATCATTCAACATATGCACATCAATAAATGTGACATACTCCATCAACAAAATCAAGGGGAAAAACCATATCATTATCTCAATAGACAGTGAAGAAGCATTTGAGAAAACTCGACATCACTTCATGGTAAAGAGTGTCAGCAAATTAGGTATAGAAGGGAAGGATCTCAACATGATAAAAGCCATATATGGCAAACCTAATGTCATTGTCATTCTGAATGGGGAGAAGTTGAAAGCTTTTCCTTAAGAATGGGAACAAGACAAGGATATCTACCCTGAGATGTTGTTTAATACACTATAAGAAGTTCTAGCCAGAGGAATCAGGCAAGAGAATGAAAGCGAGGGCATCCCAAATAGAAAAGAGAAAGTCAAATTATCCTGGTTTGCAGACATAATGATCCTATATACAGGAAAGCCTAAAAAGTCTCCAAAAAAAACCCTTAGAGCCAGTAAACAATTTCAGTAAAGCAGCAGGATACATCAGTGTGCAAAAATCACTAGTGTTTTTGAACTAGCAGAAAGAAAAACCAACAAAGCTATATTCCATTTACAATAGTCACCCCAAAAATAAAATATCTTGGAATCCAGACAACAAAGCATGTGAAAGATCTCTACAATGGAATCTATAAATCACTGTTGAAAGAAATTAAAGAAGACAACAAAAAGTGGAAAGATATTTCATGCTCTTGGATTGGAAGAAATGGATTAAAATCCTAAATATAAGACCTAAAACTTAAAAATTCCTAAAAGAAATTATAGGAGAAACACTTCTGGAAGTAGGACTGGCGACAGACTTTACTAATATGAACCCCACAGCATAGGCAACAAAAGAAAAAAGACAAATTATATCAAATTGAAAAACTGCTGCACATCACAAGAAAAAAACAGAGGAAAAGAGCAACCTACAGAGTGGGAGAAATTATTTGTAAACTATGCATCTGATAAAGGATTAATATCCAGAATATACAAGTAACTCAAACAACTTAAAAGTAGAATAATAAATAGTCTGATTTTTAAAATGGGCAAAGGAGCTGAATAGGCATTTCCAAAAGGAAGATATACAAATGGCCAACAGATACAGGAGAAAATGCTCAACATCACTCAGCATCTAGGAAGTGTAAAAGCCACATTGAAATATCATATCATTCCAGTTAGACTGGCTACTATCAAAAAGACAGAGAATAACAAATGCTGGTGAGAAAGCAGAGAAAGAAGAACCCTCCTATATTGTTGGTGGGACTGTAAATTGGTGCAGCCATTATCGAAAACCATGTGGAAGTTCCTCAAGCAACTACAGATAGAACTGCCATATGAACAGCAATCCCACTGCTGGGTATACATTCAAAGGATTGGAAATAGTCATGCAGAAGGGACACCTGTACTCCCATGTTTATTGCAGCTCTGTTTACTGTAGGCAAGACTTGGAATCAACCTAAATGTCCATTATCAGATGACTGGATAAGGAAAATGTGATATATTTATACAATGGAATACTACTCGGTCTTTAAAAAGCATGAGATATTGCCATTCACAGCAACATGGATGAACTTAGGAAAATTATGTTAAGTAAAATAAGCCAGGTACAGAAAGAAAAATTTTGCATGTTCTCACTTATATATTACAGCTAAGAAAATAAATAACTTAAAAATTAAATAAAAGAAATATACAACAATCACAATATTGCTTTGAACTTCAAGAGTAGAAAACAGAACTGAGGTTACTAGAGTGAGGAAATGCTCAGGGGGATGGTGGAAGGGAGGTATTTGTAAAGGTTCACAAAAATCTATTACACTGTATATTGAAGAATATACTAATTATCCTAATTTGAACTTCACATATTGCACATAGGGTATCCAATTCTTTACCTCAAAGATATGTACAATCAACTGTGTTGCAATGAAAAAAACTTAATTAAAAAAAAGCTTTTTATTGAACCTTCATTTATTTCTTTAGTTCTCTTTCTGTATATCGATTCTAACCTATATCTTTTTTATTCTTTTTTTTTTTTTTTCACATTGCTTCGAATACAGGTGTAGTGGCAACAAATTCTCTCAATTTTTGTTTCCCTAAGAAAGTCTTTGTTTTTTTCTTTTTTACACGTTGATTTCATAGTGGACAGGACTGTGTGTGGTAGGGTTCTTTAATCAACTGTTCGGATATTTCACTGTACTCTCTCCTTCCTTACATGGATTCTCAGGAGATGTTGGGTGTAATTCTTACCTTGTTTCTTTTTAGGTAAGATATTTTTTCCTCCCTCTAGCTTCAGATTTTTATTATTTTTGATTTTCTGAAGTTTAAGAACTACATGCCTAGATATAGATTTTTAGCATTTATCTGGTTCTGTGTTATCTTAACTTCCTTGATCTTTGGTTTGGTGCCTGATATTAATAGGTGGAAGTTCTCAGACATTATTCTTTTAAGTGTTTCTTCTGTTTTTTTTCCTCCATCTCTCTTCTGCTGGCTGTCTCATTACTTTATATTACAACTTTTGACATTGTCAAACACTCTTCAGATATTGTGTCCTGTTCATTTTGTCTTTTTCCTGTGTGTGCATGCAATTCAGTTTTTAATTTCTTTGATCTATCCTCAAACTGAGAGGTTTCTTTTCTCCACTATGTTCGGTCAGCTATGTTCACTTGGTGAGAGTGTGGTGCCAATACTATCAAGGACCACAGATTGATCCCTATACTGGCTTGCCCCCTGTGTATTTTTCTAACATCTATATAATCATTTAAAGGATTTTCACTGATAGGACTTCAAATATGCTGGGTTTCCAAACAGACCAAATGCAAATATGTGTGTGTATATATATGTATGTATAATGAATTATGTATTCATATAATGAATTATATTGGTAGACTTTTTAATACTGAGTTTTCCTTTAATTGTGGAATAAATTTAGAAAATTTCTTTTTGTTCTTCACATTGTATTTCTTTTCCTCTACCTTATGTTTAAAGGTAAAGTGCTTCTGCTGACTCTGTTCTTGTTCTTTTGTTTTGTTTTGTTTTTACTTGGAATCTCTTAGGTTTGCTCATTCATTCTGATGGCTTCACATAACATTGAAATTTTGATATTTCCATGCGTTGGACTGAATGTCCCCAAACTTGACCCCCTCTGTGACAGTGTTAGGATGGTGGGTAATCCTAATTTGGTAGTTGAAAGATAGGGCCTTAATGATGTGATTAGACTGTAGGTCCATACCGTAATGAATGGGTTAATAATGGTGGGCAGGGATGTGGTTCTGAGGGCTTTAAAAGAAAACATAAAAGGTTGACCTCTCTCTGCCCTACAATTTTGTGCCATGTGAGACCCCTGGGTCACTGTCATCTCCACCAAGGTCTCCACCAAATGTGTTCCCTGGACTTTTGACTCCTCGGCTTTTGAATCTGCAAGCAGTAAATTTCATTTTCTAACAAATCACCCCGTTCCAGGTATTTTGTTACAAGCAACAGAAATGGACTGATGCATTTCCAGATCTTTATCTTCAGCTTAGATCTCTCTTGAACCCTGGATCATATATCCAGTTGCCATTTGGACATTCCCACAGATATTTCAAGTATAATGTATTCAAGTCTATTTTATTTCTACCCATTATATTTTTCTGTCATTCTAAAAGCTACACTTTACTCTGCCAGTACCTAATTAGCTGTAATTATGTAGAAAGCCTGATAGTAAAACACTTATTTTTCACACAGGAATTTGGTACCACAGTGTCTTCCTGCTTCTTGTTTCTATATTACTTTCTTCTTCTGTATGCTTACTGCTCTGTTATTGATTGATTGATTGATTTTCTATTGGTTGGCCTGTATGGGGATCTGACCCTGTGACCTTAGTGTTAACAGAAGTATGCTCTCCCAAGTGAACTAGCTAACAAGCCTTGCTCTATGTTCTAATGCAGCTGGTCTTCAAACACCCTGTTTTCTTCTGCTCTGATTCTCCCTAAAGCTTTTTCTATTCTCCTTCTTGTGGATGAGTATTAAATTGTAAATCTAGTATGTAACTGATTTATATTTACAAAACCACATTATTTACACTCTGTGTTTAGATAGTGGCAGTGTTCACTCTCATGCAGACACAAGCAATCCTTTGGCATGGGGGAAGGAAATTTTGGAGTGCCTTTGTATATGCTTTCAGTTTACAAGTAATTTAAAAGCAGCAGTTACATATAATGTTTCACTTTATGTAAATGCAGAAGCATTCCATAATGTGTTTCTTTAATCGTGTATCTGTTATCACCACCCATGGGCATTCACTTAGACATGGTGCCATGTGTAGTTTCATTAATGTGGGGTGTCTTCCCTTGCTCTTGTGACTGCAGTTTCACTGTTGCCTCATAGTCATGAGAACATGTGGTTCACACAGAAGAGCTTAACATATTTGGTAGTTCAGTGGAGTGCAAACAGAATGCAGCATGGAAATATATTTTTTCTTTCTTTCCCCATTCTCTATTGAACTTCTCTCAAAATTTGTTAATCTGACACACTGGTTCAGGTATGTATTTATACTTATGTTTTCAAACCTGATTATAAACTTCTTGGAGAAGCAGCATTTTATTCATACTTATAACTAGCAAGAAGAATGGTTCACAGCTATATGGTAAGCTTTGTATTCATATTTTTAGTCATTAATATGTTATTAAAGTGACAGGATATTCTTGCTTGTTTTTTCTCCCTCCACTATATGCAGAATAGAAAAGCAGCACCTTATCTAACCCATAAGACAATCATCCTCACAGAACTGTGATCTCTGAGATTCCTGTTTTGTGACCCAGGGCTGGTGGCTCGAATTGAGATCAATGTGCCATTACAGGAGTTGGTGTCATTTGAGGATGTGGCTGTGGACTTCACCTGGGAGGAGTGGAGGGACCTGAATGATGCTCAGAGGACTTTGTACATAGATGTCATGCTGGAGACCTACATCAGCCTGGTGTCATTGGGTGAGTGCAACTCCACAGTAACTTTCAGGAGAAACATTTTGGTTTTTTTATAAAAATAGGAATGTTTTATAGGGTTTTATAATATTTGGTAAAATTACATTTCATGAAAAATATGTCATCCATATTTAACAAAAGTTTCAAATTGGTCTCTTTATTGTATAATTTCTGGAGCTGAAGTCTTGTCATTCTTCCAAGGATTAGGCTTTGCAATTTTATAAAGTCCTATATTACTTCCCATTAACAGGGTACTGGATTAGTAAACCTGAGGTGAGCCTCAAGTTGGAGAAAGGAGCAGAGCCTTGGATAATAAAAGAACACCCAGACCAGAGCCTCCCAGGTTAGTAAGCACATCATGGGCAGAGTCCAGGAAGAGTAAAACCCAGCAGATCTTGGCTGTGTTCAGCTTTTTCTAGCAATTTTTCCACAGGTCCATTAGCTGATGCTGGCTTCTCTCCTTGCATCAAACACAGGTATTATATAATCTCTCAGATGGATTCGTACATATATATCTCCATATTTTATTTTACTGTTTTTCAACAATGTATTTTCCTAAAATATAATCTCCACATTTCTCTTCTTTGACATTTATTTTTGCTATTGACTTTTTCAAATATTTCAGTTGCCCTCACATCCTGCACTGTCATGGACATGATTTTTCAGACTCTGTTCCTTTGTGTTACTTAAAACAGAATATCTGTAACTGGGTAATTTATGAAGATACAATCTCTATCTCTTACTGTTCTGTTCTGGTGGCTGAGCATTCCAAGGTCTGGGGGCTGCATGTGGTAAGGGCCTTGTTTTTGGTGGGGATCCTTGGCAGAATCCCAAAGTAGTGCAGGATATCACATAGGAAGTTGATAAGAAAATAAGAAAAGAGGTCCAGGTATGAGCCTTTTATAACACCACATCAGAAATTATGGAGCTGAGGCATACTGACCATAGGGCATGGAAAAAGAGAGTTCTGAATTTTATAGAAGAACCAGGAAACTCATGGCATCAAGGTCAAGTCAACCAAGGGTTTCAAGTTGAGGGACTGAGATTGCTTTTTGGAAGTGGAATTTGAAGTTAGTATTTTCCTCCTCTTTTTGTAGAAATCATTCTAAAACAACAAAGAAACTTAGAAATGTACAGGAGACTCTATTTTTTATGAGTGTACTAGCCATGCAAAACACCAGTGCATAATACTAAAGCTTTCACGAGCAATGAATTATCAAGTGGGAGTGTGTTTTCCAGAGTTTGGGAACATAATACCAGTTGATTTTATAAGGAGTCAAAAGCATCTTTTTCAAAGATGGTGGCCAAAGCCTTGGTTGTGGAACCAAGTATTTTAGATCAGTAGGTTGTCCGTAGGAATGGACTAAAGTTTCCTGTAGAGTAATGGTTTTTCGAAGCACAGTAAGTCAGGTTAAATGAGTAACTTGTGGGAGGCTCTGTTTAGGGTAGGTAAAAGAAGATTTTATTATTTCTAAAACTTCCACATGCCTATATCCATTTCCTAAGGAAGAGTAAAAAGTATAGAAACACTAATGCAAAGTTCTTAACCTAAGTCATTTTCCTCCATATGGATGAAAAATTGGATCATTCTGCACCTGGAAGTAGCCAATGAAGGAAAACCTGGCCATATTCAAAGCAGAAGAATGAGAAAAAGAGCTGCAGGAGATAACCACTATTGTTATAAAAACAAAATAGAGTAAAAACTGTAAAAATAAAAGAGTAAAAAGTAGAGTTAAAAACAAATGGAAGGTGATAAGCAATTATTTGAAATATGCAATTAGGAAAAAGTAAAAAATTATCAGATATTTCATCATGATTTAAAAACAAAAAGTGAATAAAGAAGCAAAGAAGGGGCCGAGCCCATGGCGCACTCAGGAGAGTGCGGTGCTGGGAGTGCAGCAGCGCTCCCACCATGAGTTCGGATACTATATATGGATGGCTGTTGCACTCACTGGCTGAGCGCTGTGCAGCCGGTCTCAAAAAGGACAAAAAAAAAAAAAAAAGCAAAGAAGAACGTCATATGATGTCAGAAAATATATTAATACAACATAACATTGTCAGTATGAACAAAACTCATATACTCCTGAAACCAATACCCATTATTGACTTTTATAAAATCTTTTATTACTTGGGTTGGGAGAAACTTCTCTCACTTTACACAAGCATGTGATAAAATATGCTTATGTGTGGTTCATGGATGTGGGTTTTTTTTGTCATTTCAGATGTCCAGATAGTCAATGACCTAATGGAGAGGAGTCAAGAAAGTCAAGGTAGATACTTGTGGCAAGGTGTAATCATCAATGGCAACCAATCAACTGAGGAGAATGCATATTCAATGCACATTTTAAATCTGGTTATAAATAGTGAAAACTATTCAGGAGTGGGGCATGAGGAGTCTAATGAATATCAGAATGCACTTCTTCCAGAGACTGATGCCATGTGTGCTGGAAAGAAACCTGATGAGCATAATATATCTGAGAAATCACAGAGTTATCATGAGCATCTTAGTCAGCATCTTAAGATTCCAGCTGGGCAACTTTTTGAATATAGTGGAAAAGGACAGTCCTGCAACTCAGTGCCAATAATATTTGCATGTAATATAATTTATATGGGTGAGACCACTTGTAAATATAGTGAATATTGGAAAGCCTGTAATAAGTCGTCTGTCCTTGCCCAAGAGATAACTCAGGTAGGGAAGAAAACTTTTCAAGGTGATGTATGTGGGAAAATGTATAAAAAGGCTAAACTTACTCAACATCATATTATATACACAGGAGAGAAACATGGTAAATACAGTGAATGTCAGAAATCTTTTATTAAGCAATCATACCTTATCTCATATCAGGGAACATCTGCAGAGAAATCTTTTAACCAAAAGTCAACCCTCAACAGGCATCAGAGAATTCACAGAGGTGAGAAACCATATGAATGTAAAGAATGTGGAAAAGCTTTTAAGCGAAAGTCACACCTCAGCATGCATCAGATAATTCACACAGGTGAGAAACAGTATGAATGTAAAGAATGTGGAAAAGCTTTTAAACAAAAGTCACACCTCAGCAGGCATCAGAGAATTCACAGAGGTGAGAAACCATATGAATGTAAAGAATGTGGAAAAGCTTTTAACCGAAAGTCAAACCTCAGCATGCATCAGAGAATTCACACACATGAGAAACCATATGAATGTGAAGAATGTGGAAAAGCATTTAACCAAAAATCAAGCCTCAGCATGCATCAGAGAATACACACAGATGAGAAACCATATGAATGTAAAGAATGTGGAAAAGCTTTTAAGCGAAAGTCAAGCCTAAGCATGCATCAGAGAATACACACAGATGAGAAACCATACAAATGTAAAGAATGTGGAAAAGCTTTTAAGTTAAAGTCACACCTCCGTAAGCATCAGAGAACTCACACTGGTGAGAAACCATATGAATGTAAAGAATGTGGAAAAGCTTTTAAGCGAAAGTCACACCTCAGCATGCATCAGAGAATTCACACAGGTGAGAAACGATATGAATGTAAAGAATGTGGAAAAGCTTTTAAGTTAAAGTCACACCTCAGCAAGCATCAGAGGACACACACAGGTGAGAAACCATATGAATGTAAAGAATGTGGAAAAGCTTTTAAACAAAAGTCCAACCTCAGCATGCATCAGAGCATTCACACAGATGAGAAACCATATGAATGTAAAGAATGTGGAAAAGCTTTTAACCAAAAGTCAAACCTCAGCATGCATTGGAGAATACACACAGATGAGAAACCATATGAATGTAAAGAATGTGGAAAAGCTTTTAACCGAAAGTCAAACCTCAGCAGGCATCAGAGAATTCACAGAGGTGAGAAACGATATGAATGTAAAGAATGTGGAAAAGCTTTTAACCAAAAGTCACACCTCAGCAGGCATCAGAGAATTCACACAGGTGAGAAACCTTATGAATGTAAATAATGTGGAAAAGCTTTTAACCAAAAGTCAAACCTCAGCATGCATCAGAGAATACACACAGGTCAGAAGCCATGTGAATGTAATGAATGTGGAAAAAGTTTTTTTTACAAAGTCACAGTTGCGAAGACATCAGGATACTAACACAGGAAAAAACTCCTGATGAATTTAATGTGACAGGTCTTGTACTGGAATTCCCCCTAACAGACAAAAAAGATTTCACACAATGGAAAATCTCAGTGAATATAATTTCTGTGGAAAAAGATTTTGCCAGAAGTCATACCTCAAGACATCAAAGAACTTACATCAAGAAGAAGACCTATACACAATTGTTCTCTGGTATTGAAGAATGTCTTGAGGATCCCCCTATAGATATAAAAATTTGCTGATGCTCAAGTCCCTTCTATAAATGGTGTAGTGTTTGTGTATTACCAATTCACTTCCTGCTGTGTACTTTACATCTTGTGTAGATTACTTATAATACTGGAAAAAATGGGAATGCTATGTAAATTGTTATAGTGTGTTGTTTTTCAGTTATAGTTGTTTCATTTATTGTTTTTATTTACTTTTGAAGATTTTTGATAAGTAGTTTCTTGAATCACCAGATGTGTAACCCTCGGATATGGAAGGAGGACTGTAATGAGTGTGAAAACATCTTTTCTCCAAAGTCTCAAGACTGACTATGGTTAGAGCATTTTTGCTTATAATATTGGTGCTCATAACACAAATGATCTCCATACCAGCCATGCACAAAAAATAAATAAAAATAAAAAAGGAATCACATCATAGCAGGCATTAGAGAATTTAAAGAGGGGAGAATTTCTATATGGATTAGACTGACTGTTTCTTTTTAAAACAAAACCACTCTTTTCTTTTTTCTTCTTTTTTTTTTATTTTGTCTTTTCGTGAGACCGGCCGCACTGCGCTCAGCCAGTGAGCGCCCCAGCCATCCCTATATAGGATCCGAACCCGCGGTGGGAGCGCTGCTGCACTCCCAGCACTGCACTCTCCCGAGTGCACCACAGGCTCGGCCCAAAAACCACTCTTTTCTCTTGTTTGCATTGCCTGCAATCTGAGTATTCCATCATTGGGTGGATGACCATGGAATTTAACTGTTCAGGGGAATGTAGACATAGTGGTGAACATTACTTCCAGTTCAGGGAACAAAATAAAAAAATTTCCATCCAGTTTTTCCTGATTTCTTGTGTTCTCTTTAACTGAATGAAGATGACACTTGGGGGGAGTTGGGGTCCACAGGTGAAGGAAATCCACCCTAATTTAAAATAGAAGAAATTCAAGAAACCAGAAATATTCTCACCACTATCCCCAAACCCCCATTTATGCATTATGTAAGAAATTATTTCCTTGTTGAGCCATTTTATGTGTGCTGGCTATTTGCATTACAACACAAGCAGTGTACTCCAGCTAAATGATTTTACAAACTTTCTGAGAGAAGTTACCAGTCCTTGTATATGGGAAGAGAATCCTGTGTTGTCACCATTTATACCCAAATCAGTTTGTGAGAAAAGCAAATAATGGGGAGAAAGAAGGCAATAAATGTGAGATTTCTTATTGGGACAGACAGCTCATTAAACAGTGAAAATAAAGTTAAATATCTTTCTAAAACTCTAATGTGTCAAAGCTTTTAAGAAAACTTTCAACACTTTTTACGTCAATTTGGAATGAAGAGAAAACTATGTAATAAATGTAAATTTTCAAATAGAAATGATCCATGGAGTATTAAAAGTATTTTTAACATTTTGAATGTTACCATTATTTAAATATGACTGGTGACACTTGTTTGCCAGGGGACATTTGTCTTTGTCTGAAGACATTTTTGGTTGTCCTAACTGAAGGTTGGGAGGTGCTACTCCATTGAGTGGGAAGAAGACACAGATGTTGGTAAACAGCCTACAATGCAAAAGAAAGCCACCTCACATGCAACATTTAGGCATAAAAATGTTCTTTGTTAAAAATTCTTCTTAATGGAACCCAGCATAACCTTGCATAGGGAATATGTATGCTTAGTATAATAAATAGTTTGGTTTGACTTACTTCAGTATTTTTGACATTAACTGCCACTATAACTTCTGTATATTTTGGTAAATATATTGTCTAAAGTACTGCACTGCATAGATTTTTTTTTTTATAAAAGATGACAAGTAAGGTGATTTTAACCCTTTATTTGGTATTGTCAGCACCATGCTCTCCCAACTGAGTTAATCAGCCATCCCTATATAGGGATCCAAGTCCATGGTCTTGGTGTTATCAGTACCACACTCTCCCAAGTGAGCCACAGGCCAGCCCAGATTTTTTCCTACTCTCCTATTTTAGGTAATTTCGTATGATCAGTATTACAAAACTAAGTAAAGGTAAGTTTTTCTGATGTTTGAAGCAAATGCAGAGTGAGTCTATGGGTTGAATAGAAACATTTCTATGTGAATGTACAAATTCACGGCACATAATTGTAAACTTGTTTGAACTTATTTAAACAGTTGTAAAAGATAGTGGTTTTCTTATTTTACTCAGTGAAAAGCAGTGTCTGGAAGGGATACTTTTATACTTACTCCTTATATTTTTAAATGGTGCCAAATCATACATATGAGTGTGTCACATGCCCTATAGCTAAGAAATCTTTTGTATTTCTATTTGCAGTGATGGAGTGATATTTTGAATCTTGCCACTAAGAGGTAAATCCTGACTCCACTTGTGTATTGCGCTGTGCGTCACTGTGCTCGTGTATAAGCCTCCAGACCTAGAGATGGTCTCAGAGCCTGTTTTCACCTAAGGAGTTTTCTCAAGTCTGTGATGACTCCAGGTCTGCGCTCAGAGGCCGTGGGGTGGGGTAGACCCAGGCCCCAAAGAGGGGTGTGAGCAAGTAAGACAAAATGGTGTCCAGCATAGAACCTGACGGGTGTGGTTGGAGGCAGGGTCTCTGGGATCCTTTTGGGCAGGGAGGTCATTTCCATCTGCCACTATTCTGTCCCCAAATCTCTGGTAACAGTGGGCAGAGAGTACAGCACCATCATTTATTTCTCATTTTTCATTCATCTTTTTTCTTCTTTCTATTTTAGGAGGTTTAATTTTCCTCCTTTATCTAAGTTTTTAGTTGGAAGTTTAGGTTATTGATTCCAGATCTTTCTAAAATGCATACATTTACAAATATAAATTTTACTATAAGCCCTTTTATACTTTTAACATGTATTACTGTTTTCAATCTCAATATTTTTCAAATTTTACTGTCATTTTTATGGCTCATTGGCAGTTTGGGGGTTTGTTGTTTAACTTTCATGTAATTGTAAACTACTAAAGTTTCATTCAGTTAATAATTTTCTGTTTAAGTCTATTGTGGTCAGAGAACATACATTGTATAATTTCAATCCTCAAAGTTATTGAAGATATTTTATGGCATTGCAAATGGTCTTCTCTGGAATATGTTCCTAGGGCTTGAATAGATTGGGTATTCTGTTGTTGGGTGTTGTGTCTATATATACATATCTTTAAGTTCGAGTTGATTTATAATGTTGTGGAAGACTTCTATACCCCTGTCTGTCTTTTACCTAGTTGTTCTATCAATTATGGAATGTTGCGCTTGACATATCTGAATATTTACATAGAACAGTCTGTTTCACCCTTAATTTCTACTCTAATTATTTTTATTTGATGTTGGACTTGTTTGGAGCATGTATACCTGTACTTGTTATGGTATCTTCCTGGCTGACACTTTTGTCATAAATGACCCTTTTTATTCCTAGTAACAATTTTGTTTTAATTTTTTTATTTTTTTTTGGTATTAATATGGTGAGCTGGTGTGTGTGTTATGGTTATGTTTACATTATATATCTTTCCCTGCCCATTAATTTTAAACCTGTTCATATCTTTGAAGTTAGTGTGTTTCTCTTGTGCTCAATATATACCTTTTTTTCTTATTTTTAAAACTATTGGACAAGTCTTTTAAAAATTTTTTTATTTTGTTTTACTTGACAGATTATAATGGTATATGCTTACGAGGTACAATTTGATGTTTCAACATGTGTACATTGTGAAATGATTAAATTAGGCTAATTCA